AGGCGTCATGTTAGCTGGAGGGAAGGGAGGGGTAAAAGACAAAAACGAAAATTTACTACCGTAATACGGTCTTACGACCTTGCGTTGAAATAAAATGCAATGGACGCAAAAGAGTAATACGTGAAATTCGATATTAAGATGGATAGCGAAACTGCATCGCTTAACTTCAGTGCTATAGCAATCCTTTAAGTGATTGTTCCACAAAATTCGAGCTTTAGAAGCCCGAATCAAAGAAATAGAATGGTATAAAAGGACTCATCCACTTTTTTTTCTCCCAAGCACACATAGAGCCTCATTTTACAACCTCATTTTACGGGAAATAGTGCTTGAGAATTTTCCAAATCACTACACTTTTGCTCGCGGAAAACACCACTATGATAACCGTAAGACTTTCGTTTTAATACATTCGAATTACCGAAAAGTCCGAAAACACAAATGTGAGACAGGAACAATTTTGGTAAGTAATGGAACGGCTTACTTCTTTCGTACGGTCTGTCAGACCTTGAAGTGGCTCCGTTTCAAGATTCGACATCTACGAGCCCCTGTAAAATTTTGAAGACTTTACAAGTGGCAAATGGTAACGGAAAAGTGTGCGGAGATAGAGTCGCAGCACAATCAACGATTCCCACTGTGAGTGAAAAAGTAGAGATTAGAGCGCAAAAGAATGAAGTCAACCGCGTGTGAAATATCGAGTGACGGTATAGAGGGTAACAAGACTGTTGCCAGCCGAAATTTTTCTCCTTGAGAGAACCAGACGGAGAAACAGTATCTGCACGTCGTGCCGACCAGGTCCGGTACATTCTAACACCGAGTCCCACTAGTCGCACCCGCCGCATATTGCAGAAATGCGATGCAAGCTTGGAGCGCGCAATCTGTGATTTAGGGATTTCTTCCATTATTTACATTTCCTGGAAACTATCTTCAATCCCAATGTAGTTTGGTCGTAGATAACAGAGAAGGAGTCGTTCCGAAAAATCAAGTCTAATATACATAAAAACAAAACAGAAACAGAAAGAATTAAACAAAACCACTCAAAAAAGAGTCAACGGAAAATATGGTGTTCTTTCGACTGGCCAGGAGGCGGGCGTTGATTGCTGTTTAAAGCCGCAAGACAGCTAAACAGATCTGCTGCATGCCGCAAAGCGAACGTGGAAAAACGGGGAGAACTTGCGCAACCCGTGTCGACCGGGGGACGGGCACTATGTGCGTCCAAGGGCGCGCACGGCAAATTGCGCGGCGAAGTTCGTGGCGGTTTGGACGCTTTTAGCGCCTATCATTGAGGCCCAAATTTGAAGTAGACTTGATTAGAAGGATCATCTGACCCTACTAAACTACTCTACTTCGAGTTTGTGCTCCCAAAATTGGGGTCTGAGTCGTACAAATCGTCACAAACTTCGCCGCGCAAGTTGCCGCGCGCGTCCTCGGACGCACGTAGTGTCAATAGGGGAGGCGGTCGTTTGGCGCGGCCCCTCGCACCCACCTTGCCATTGGCTCGTAATTGCCTCCTTGGCGCCGCCCATTCGACTCGGTTTGTGAGCTGGGCAACTCGTCCAGCTGATTCAACCTCCCGACAATGCAAATCAGCCTATCCACTGCCCTTCCAGCTGAAAGACGCTCGATCGATAACGCCGCTAAAATTAGACGCTGAATTGACCTACCACTATCCTGTCTATTTCTACCGCGAATTTGGTTATTTTACCGCCCTTTTTTTGCTTCTCGAAGTTTTTGAACCCCTTTTCAAGTGAATACTGCTAAGTTACTATGGAGTGGAAGTAGGGCCGTTTTGGAGCCTGATACTTACCACTTCAAAGTAATTTGCAGGTACATATATTGTGTGGTAAGTGTTTCATTGTTTCTTCTTTGAAAATCATTTATTTATCATAATATTTATTTCCATCATTTACTTTATTGTCATTGTAAGGGACTGTAGGGGACGTGAACATGTGATGGGGATTCTGCGGATGTTTTCCTGATGACTCAGCTTCTACTTTCAGGGCGTGGCCTAGTGACGACGAGGAAGCTTGAGCAGTCTGCCGGCTTCACGGACCGAGGACTGCAGTCAACGTCCGTTTCTCCATCCGGGGCGATTCCCTGTACTATTCAGAAGAGATCTAATCCTTGTTTACCGGTCTCCAGTCTCCTTCGTGTTTCCCCTGTTATGTGTATTTTATTATCTTTGGTGCTTCTCCTGTTGTTCATGTTATATTCGTGTTATAGGGATAGACTCTTATTATTTAAATGGTGTTAGGACAAGGTGACCTTAGCGATCGCACCTTCCGCTGGGCGCGCTCGCTTACTGGTAGCAGCGAGTGGTTCACCCCTCGCTTAGGATAGTACAGGGTTAAGGTAAATCTTCTCCTCGTTTTGGGCGTGGCCACTCGTTAGGTTTTTCTCTGTCTGTTCGCGTTGAGAAGATTTTTTTTGCCCCT